AGGTAACTCTATTCGCTCTTCATACTCGGCTCATGGCTGCGTGGCAGCGGCTCCCCCGGTCCCTGGAGCCCGGTCGGTGTCTGGTGGGCGGGCGGCTCCCTTCTGAGCGCCAGTGACTCAGTTCCCGCGTGGGACTGCTTTGTGGCGTGAGCACGTCAGACTCCACGACCCGCCACGTCTCCGTTCGCCAGGTAGGATAATAATACTTACCTCCCACACACCTGGGTGTTGTGAGAATTAGAGATAATGTTTGCCAAGAGCTTCGTAAACACGGAGCCTTTCATCTGAGGGAGGCGCCCAGAGGGTTAATTTGCGTGTTGTCGCTGGTGTTGGTGCTCCCACACGGCTTTATTTTTGGGTTTTCTTAGCGGCAGGGGCGGGAGGTGGTGCGATGCTGCCGGTCACCAGGTCGGGCGTGCGCTGGGCTGGTCGCTGCCTTGTGCCTTGTGTTTGCGCGTTCAAGGCGAAAGCGCCAGGCATTACGGGGTCCACTTCTCCCCACGGGCAGGACAGCTCCTCCAGAGACAGTGCCAGCAGCAGCTCTAGTCTGGGCATTTTCTCGACGGCCCAGTTGGCCCAGCTCTGTCTGCCAGGAGGGCAGGCTTGCCCACAGTGAGGGTCACAGGACTGTCAAGGCCCGCCACTGCGTTCCTGGGGAGACGGAGTCACAGCCCGTTCGCTCTCCTCCTGATGACTTCTCTGCCGTGTTCACTCCAGACGTTCAACTTAGGGATTTCCTGACCGTTGGTTGGTCCGTGGGGCCGACCAGGTCTTCTTCAGAGAGATCTCATTCCAAACACAGGTCAGCTGCTGAAGTTCACCCCAGAAGACGGGTTTAAAGGAACGTGCCAACCTCAGCCTGGTGAGCGGCACGTATTTTGCATCTGACAAGTCGGTAGTCAGTAAACATAGTCTAACAGGCCCTAGTGCACAAACACTTATTAAATGAATAAACGCATTGTTCCTGCTGTCCCATAGCTCATTCACGGTCACTTAAGTTGCTGGGATAATCGCAGCACTTTGGTTTTTTTAAATTTATAGGTCTATTCATACGTTATAAATACTATATTGTGTATTTATATCCTACATATGAAGTCACCCCCAAAATGCCTACACACACTTTGAATACTTCCAAAGGCAGTGCTCATGAAAATACATTTCATTATCACAGTGGAGCTCTTTGATCAGCTGTTAAAGGGTGTGATCATTTCTGGGGACCCCCTGTGTATATATAGAGTCATGGGTGCACTGTTTGGAAGCATCACTGCTTATGCTGTAACTACAGCTGGTACCTGACAAAGGACCGTTGAGACTGACCGTGTAGACGTCCGAGAACCGTGGAGCGTTTGGTGCTGGGAGCTGAGGGCCCGTGGTCAGCCTAGCAAACCCATTCTCTTCGTGTGGCGCCTACAGTCCGGCAGCCACTGCGGACCGGTCTGAAGAGACCAGGACCCACGTCCCGTCCGTGGGCTCCGGCCTTGTGCTGTGGAGGGCGAGGAGGAAGGGTCAGCCATAGCCCACACCGTGCTTTCCTTTTCTTCTTCACACGGTGGTTTAGTTAATCACCCTCCGTTAAACCGACCACCGATGGAAGGACACGTGTGTTGTGTGGGCTCATGAGCGCTGTTCTGAAGGCAGTTGGGGCGTCCAATCAGAATCCGTGTCACAGGCTTCATTCAGTGGAAAGACTGTTTGTCATCCGTCTCTGGATCCCAAACCCAAGGAGCTGAGCAATAATTAGGCTTCTTGAATAAAAAAAAAAAAAAAATAGAAGGAGATGCCTTTGAAGAGGCAACTCCATTCTAATCTCGAGGATTCAGAAACCGAAAGTCAGTCCGGCCGGCGTGGCTCCGTGGCTGAGCGCTGACCTATGAACCAGGAGGTCAGGGTTCAGTTCCCGGTCAGGGCACCTGCCTGGGCTGTGGGCTCGATCCCCAGTGGGGAGCGTGCAGAAGGCAGCTGATCCATGATCCTTTCTCATCACTGATCTTTCTCTTTTTCTCTCCCTTGCCTTCTTCTCTGAAATCAATAAAAACAAAACAAAATCCTAATATCATTACTTTTGTAAAAATCTATAAAAATAGTGAGGTTCTCTCTTGTGAGCTCCATGAGAAAGTAAGAAACGTCACTTTATTCAGACCTGCTCAGACCGTTCTGTGTTAAGTGGATTGGAGGGTGTGTGCGAGGGAAGCACCTTAGGTGGCCTGCGTCCAGGCAGTGGGTGACATCATCTGACATCATCGCCACCTCCTGGCGGCTGGGCCCTTTGATCACAGCAGGAGCCGCTGGAGCAGGAGGGGAGGGGAGGAGCCGCAGATCTAGTTCCTTTGATGTGTGGGTGGTTCACATGCCTGAGATTCTTAACTGGGGACCAGCGGTGCCGCCCAGCCCCGCCTGCCCGGGGGCCAGGTCTGGGAGCGGCAGCCGAGCCACTCCTGGGCCCCGTGTGGCATGAAAAGGCAGACCTGAGTCTAGACTCGCCATCCTGTCCTTCACCTTTTCTGGTTTTAAAAAACCATTACACCAACCAGGTTAGGAGCTGAAGTTGTGAGTGTCTGGCCTGGGCCCGTCAAACAGAACCATGTCAGGGAGGGCTGAGCTCCGTGCCTGCTGGGATTGTTTCAGGGACATGTGGGCAGCGACGCCGGTGAGAGTGCGAGGCCCCTGACACTCTCCTGTGGGAGGAAAGGGTCCTGAGTGCCCCGCCCTGTCACACTGGTGCTGATGGAGGGTGTAGTTCTGTGCACACCCACCTGCCTGATGCAGCCTCACGGACCTTTATTTCCACGAGAGGCTCCTGGGAGGTCACGCTGGGGTCACTACGGAACAGACGGACCTGGAGTGGAAAGTGGGTGGTTTTGTGGTCTTGAGCTTTGGAGGAAGGGGATCACTGCCTCCGGACACATCTCAGCAGCTTGGGGTGGGGAGCAGCTTGGGGCGGGGAGCAGCTCGGGGTGAGGAGCAGTTTCGGATGGGGAGCAGCTCGGGGCGGGGAGCAGCTCAGGGTGAGGAGCAGCTTCGGATGGGGAGCAGCTCGGGGTGGGGAGCAGCTCGAGTCCCTGCCCTGCCTGCAGCTGCCTCCCCAGTTCTCGGCCCCAAGTGGAGTAGTGGGTCCCCAAGCGGAGCAGTGGCAGTGGCGGGCAGGGCAGGGTGGGGCCCGCTGGGTGTGGTGGAGATGCAGGGACTGCGGGAAACGCAGGGGGAAGGATGTCCACCCCGGGGAAATGACAAAAGGGCTGGAGGGTGACCTCCCAAGGAAGATGCCGCTATCATGCAGGTTGTGCCTCTCGTGTAAGTGGAATTGGCTCAGGTTCAGGCTCGGGTTCAGGCCCATATTCTAGTCACTAGAATCTAGTCGATAGAGAGCTGTGTCGCCCGGGAAGTGAGATGGAACTCCACCGACGAGAGGACTGGGGGAAGCACATCCTGGCTGAGTGTGTGTGCGTCAGGGGAAGCCTTGAACTCCTCACTGTCTTGTCCCCAGGTGTTGATGGGCCTCCTGGGCGGCACGTCTCGCTTCCTCTCACTCAGCGAGAGGGTGTCCGGCCGACCGGCCGAGGTGATGACCGCCCTCTCAGGAGACCGGCCCGCCCAGGCCTCTGGGAGGAAACGGACCAACGGCCTATTGTGCCTCAAACCCGGGCAGGGCCCGCAGAGGTGACTCCAGAGCGTTAGGGTTGAGAGCAATTACCGGAGTGTGGCCACCCGCCCTTCCTTCAATCAGCAGCTCTTCCCCTGCAGAAAATTACATAAACACGAGGGTTTCCTCCGTCCCCGGGATTCTGCATGTCTGCCAGGACCACGGCCATCGGGGCTGGAGGTAGGGCAGTGGCCCCTGTGAAGGCATGGTGGCTGCTGCATTGCCCACCGCCCGCAGCTTCCCGGTCCCAGGCCTCTTGGGTTGGACGGTGCTGAGAGGTGTTGGCAGTGGGGGGAGGCCACCCCGTCTTTTCATCGAAATGCAGGGCTTTCTCAGAGCTGGCTCCGCAGCCTCCGTATTTTACAAAGCTCCTCAGGCGATTCCAACCAAAGTTGAGACCCACTAATGGGGCGATTTCTGGATGGAAAATACTCAGCAAAGAAGCAGATAGGAGTCTGCTTACCTATGAAGTAGCCGTCTTTCCTTTGGGGTGGGGTGGGGGGTAAAGCTATAGGCCAGGTGCCCACTATGACCGACATGGGCTCGTGAATCAGCCCGACTGGGTTCGGTCCTGGCGTGTGGCACTGACTCCATGGACACAGCCCTTCCCCAGCCGGGCCCTCTACGGCAGCGGTTCTCAACCTGTGGGTCGCGACCTTTTGGGGGTCGAACAACCCTTTCACAGGGGTCGCCTAAGACCACCGGAAAACACACATATAATTACATGTTGTTTTTGTGATTAATCACTATGCTTTAATGATGTTCAATTTGTAACAATGAAACTGGGGGTCACCACAACATGAGGAACTGTATGAAAGGGTCTCGGCGTTAGGAAGGTTGAGAACCACTGCTCTATGGCAAGTGTGTCAATCAAAGGCTACGATAGGCGGATAGACAAGGTGTAGTGCATGTGGCCGCAAAAAACCAAAAGCTTCCATTTTCCTAGAAACGTAGGTTTACTGAGATAGAGACATGCTGAATGCAAAGGGCTGAAATAAACGAGTCATCGTTAACATAGATTAACAGGACATTTTAACAAAAATTAGTATTTTTCTTGAACATTAACTTACCAGACACTGCATAACTGCACACATTAATAAGCGTAATGCAAAGAAACCTATTTTTCTCATTCTCCGAAAGCGAGATATTTCCTGTTGCGCACACCAAACAAGTCAGTCCAGGACTAATGACGTGGCCACCGGCTGCTAGAACATTCGCTGCTGGTATTAGTGGAGGGAAATGGTGCGCCTGCACGTGAGGTGCGTAAGGGAAGTGAATGCAACATGATGATAGTCATCAGTCATTAGTGGATGTTGTAGTTCGTTATCAATGATTATATATAACAGGATATTGTAAGAAGTAAGTTACGGAATTTTATTAAAACGTTTCTACGTCCCGTCATATCGGCTGGGCGCGTGCGGCCGCGAGGTTGACGTGCTCGCTGTAGGCCTGAGCGGCCCCCCAGCTGTTGGCTGTTGAACAAGGGCGACCCCTGCAGGGGGCTAGGCACCTGCCTGAAGCACAGAACACACGGGTCCTGGTGGCCCTGGGCGGGTCAGACGGGGAGGCCTCTGTTCTCAGGGAATGAGCCTGCGTTTGGGTCCAGAGGGGAGAGCCGAGGCCAGTGCAGAGAAGGTGCCCAGAGGCCAGTGGGCGGGGCCACGGTTCTGAAATAAATCAAGAGTCCAAGTCAGCAGAATACAGGACTGTGTGGGCGTGGGGTCATGCGGGGTCACGTGGGGGAAGCCCGCGGGCCCGCAGGCTGGCCAGGAGCCAACTGGGCGCCCAGAGCTCGCTGTATTGGCCACAGAGGAGCTGGCCGGGGGCGCGGGGTTTGTGTGAAGACAGCAGCTGCTGCGGCCGAGCGGCTCTGACCTGCTCAGGTGGGGTCTCCGCCTTTGATGCTGGGGGATCTGCTCCGTGTGGGAAGGTCTCCTGAGTTTGACATGCTTGGTGTATGTGAGTGTGTGTGTGTGTGTGTGTGTGCGTGAGTGTGTGTGTGTGTGTATGGTAGTGTGAATGTGTGTGTGTGTGTGAATGTGTGAGTGTGTGTGTATGTGTATGAATGTGTGTGTGTGAATGTGAGTGTGTGTGTGGATGTGTATGAATGTGTGTGAGAGTGTGTGTGTATGTGTGTGTGTGGATGTATATGAATGTGTGTATGTGCGCGAGTGTGTGTGGATGTGTATGAATGTGTGTGAGAGTGTGTGTGTATGTGTGTGTGAGAGAATGTGTGTGTGTGTATGAGTATGAATGTGTGTATGTGAGTGAGTGTGTGCGCGAGTGTGTGCGTGTGTGTGCGAGTGTGTGTGTGACTGTGTGAGAGTGAATGTGTGTGTGAGAGTGTGTGAGTGTGTGTGCGCGCGTGTGTGTGGGAGTGTGAATGTGTGAGTGTGTGTGTGTGAGTAAATGTGTGAGTGTGTGTGCGGGAGTGTGAATGTGTGTGTGTGTGTGTGGGAGTGTGAGCATGCACATATCAGAAAAGAATGATGAATTACTTAAAATGCAAAGGTTAAAAGGTGATAAGATCCCAGACTATGGAGTTACTCAAGTTTTGGCTGGAATGAATAAAAATTCAGCACATGGAGACAAGGATGCCCAGTGGACGCATGTTAGGACAGATAAAAGGAAGGCACATGCCACAAAACAGCTACCATCTCTGAGAAAACTC